ATTCTGCAAGTAATGCTTTATCAAAAGCAAGTCACCAATTTTCTGATTTTCAAAGCCCACTCTATACAAGAGTCCTTCAACAAAGTCCTCATCGGTCTCTTTTTCTTGATTAGGAGGGTCAGGATAACGTGACATTTCATCTGCATTACCATGTTTTTTGCCCGACTTATACCGAACTCGAAATTCGAACGATTGCAGCAGCAGGACCCACCTCATTAACCTACCCTTCAATTCGACCTTGTTGAATAACCATTCAAGTGCCTGATAGTCAACCCATATGTCAAACGCAGTGCCACCTACATATCGTTCGTTTATGTGACATCCAAAAACAATCGCTAGGCATTCTTTTTCAGTAACGCTATAATGTAACTTATGTTCATTTAACTTCCTTGAATCGAACGACACAGGTCTTAATTGACCATCTTTATTCTCTTGTTCAAGAATGACACCAACAGAAAACTCACAAGCATCGGTGTACATTTAATATGGCTTCCGACCTTCTTTGGCTGCCTGCCAATTGGGCGCTTTTAGTACAATTTCTTCACTCAATTTTTCCTTCAACATTTCAAACACTTCATTTTCTCTCTGGCCCCAGCGAAACTTGGTAGCTTGCTTGGTCAGATCGGTCAACGGTTTGGCTATCTTACTGAAATTTTCGACAAACCGTCAATAATAATTCAACACACCATGGAACGATCTTACTTATTTACATTTCGAGATGCCGTCCATCGTCGTATTTTTTCTACTCTTTTGGGATTCATCTTAATTCCCTGCTTGCTTACTACATACCTATACATTTCAAGTTCATTATATAGGATAAAGCACTTTTTCACTGCAAAAGTTAATCCCGCCCTTTTTAAGACTTCAGCCAATCGTATGAACGTCTCCAAATGTTCTTTCATCTTTCCGTTGGTCCAAATTCCAACATCATCTTGATACGTAGCAGCAATATTCCTCCATTGTTCATCATCCAACAATCGATCCATTAACCTTTGGAAGGTTTCACTCACGTTTTTCAAGCCCATGCACATAACGTGTATTGTAAAAATCCAAGCGGGGTGGCCACAGCCCTTTATCACGGTCCTTTTCCTTAATCCCAATCTGCCAGTATCCTTTGAACGCATCAACTGATGAATATCAATCGTGACCAGCTGCTTGTTTCAGAATGTTACGAATAATTGGTAACGGGTAACTGTCCTTGATTATATATTTGTTGAGGGGCTTCATATTGCCAACGGCCCTTATTTTGTCAGTACCTCCATCCTTCTTTTGCACAGGGAAGCAATGGTAAGCGTATTTGCCGGATCCTTTTTCCAAGAGACCACATTTAACCATTTCTCTTAAATGATCTTCAAATAAAAGCCTTATTTCAGGATTATTTATTCTAATTGGCCTCAATCGCATGGCTGGTACAATGGCGTCGCTGGTTCAAACTTCGTATTCTACCAGGTTTGTTTTGCCGATGTCTTTCAGATCATATGCAAATATGTCTCCTACTTTATTAATCAACCGACTTATAATTATGCTTCTAATCGGTTTATCTCGAACGTTAGGTCCCAGATCGATCAGAGCACTATTTTCCATCGTCAATCTTGATACTACAAGAGCGTTCTGACCCTCAATGGTTACATCGTCCTTTTCGTTATCAGGATCCCAATATTTTACCCTACCACAAAAGCCAAATCCTTTTATACTTTAAGATTCAACGGGTTTAATTTCACGTATTACTAAACTGTCCTTATTCTTTGCATTGTTCAGGACATCCAATGCCCAACGATCCCTGTTTTCCTCATACAGATCTTTTACCACTATCCTTTTTACCGCCATTATATTATTCACATCATCATCATAATCGCTTTCATCATCACTTCCCATATCATCCTCATAATTATTGGCTTGGATTTCTCCCACCCAACTTCTAGGAACGGTTGATATCACGAAGAACGCTGATCGTACAGGAGAAGAGATGGTGCACCAATACTCTGTACCTTTAAAACCCAGGGTACATTGTGCTCTTGCATTCCATGGCATACCCAACAAGACGTCAAAGCTGGCAGTTTCCATTACATAGAAGCTTTGATTTACTACAATGTCTTTCATGTCAACTTCTATATTAGGAATATAATCCACAAATTGACTGATTTGATTGTTGGCCATTCGACCTCTACCACGTGCTTGATTCCATTTCAAACCTCTTTTCTCAGCATAACTCTTTAACATAAGGTTTATTCGTGAACCAGGATCGATCGGGGCTTTCACAGAGTCTCCATTTATCTTAACCATCCATACAGATACAACCTCATTCAACTTTGGTTGATTATTTTGTAAAACACCACGCATGATCCTAATTCTAGCATGCTGATCGGTGATATTATCCCTTTTTCGTCGTGTTAAGGCTCCCATCATCTCTGAGCATGCTTTGGGTGACCACTTAAATAGTTGTCCCAAGGTAAGCGTAACTTCCATGCCTAATAGTTTCTTTAGTATATCGAGTTCATCAGAAAGTTCAGCAAAAGGTACATACATCATGTTACCACATGACTTTAGCTTTTCATTTGCCGGCCTCAATTCTTGGATTTTTCCCTTTTTTACTAACAGTTCGATTGTCTCGATTACATCATCGCTTTTTTTTTGTTTGCCAAATGCCCTTACATCACCACATTCCTCTTCGTCCAACAATTCTACTTCCAAGTACTCCCTATCATTATCATCGCTCTTTTTACTAAATTCCACAAAGTGCATATCAGCTTTATTGAACCTTATACCCGTATTGGGTTTGTCATCGCCTTTATTTCGGTTAGGCAGTTTTTCACGATATGGCCCTCTTGTTGACACAGGTAACACGTTCGTGGTTTGTTGGTTCTTTGTTGAGTACCTTTCTTGTTTAGATCTTTCATATTTTTCATTACAGTGTCTCGGATCATCGCCTCAACTTCACTATGACTCAGCTTATCCTCTCGTTTAACACGATTGATACTCAGCGCCGCAATTCCATTCACAATGCTGTCGATATCAACATCCGATTTGCTTGATTGTAGAGTTACTTCTGGTATGATTGTGTCCTTTTGTTGGTTAATGTCCTTGTCCCTTCTATAATCCTCTATTCCTAATGCCTTCTTTTTGG